GGGCGCACGGGGCCCGCGACGAGCTAAGGCAGGGCGCACGGGGCCCGCGACGAGCTAAGGCAGGGCGCACGGGGCCCGCGACGAGCTAAGGCAGGGCGCACGGGGCCCGCGACGAGCTAAGGCAGGGCGCACGGGGCCCGCGACGAGCTAAGGCAGGGCGCACGGGGCCCGCGACGAGCTAAGGCAGGGCGCACGGGGCCCGCGACGAGCTAAGGCAGGGCGCACGGGGCCCGCGACGAGCTAAGGCAGGGCGCACGGGGCCCGCGACGAGCTAAGGGCGGAGGCACGAGACGGAGGGCGCGTTTCGGAGGGCGCGGAGGGCTCGTTTCGGAGGGCGCAGAGGGCGCGACGAAAGGCTAGAGCGTGGAGGGCGCTAGAGTGCGAGCTAGGCTAGTCTAGGCTAGGATACTATACCTACTCATGATACCATTTTAGAAGTAGAGTGCAACGGAATGTCGAGAGTATCAAGGCAAGGGGGTACAAGCATGACAACCTAATTGGGTTGTACTCACTATACAGCACCTCACTACAGACTATAACAAATGTCAACATTTGACAGGAATGTACCCCTTAGAGTACATGGCTAGTCTAGGTCGTTTCGTATTCCTTGTATTTGCTATATAAACTCAATGTATGCATGTTATTATCAATCTCAGTCATTTACATTCACTCTGACCTGAGTTCACTACTTCCGCTGCAACACTACCCTGCGATCAACTCTGAGCGATCCTTCGCTAAGTCCCATTTGGGATCGTAACATAAAAAACCTAAATTTGTCTTTAGTTCGTACCCCTCGCTTCACCCCTCGTCAGATTGTCTACCTCGCTAACGCAGCCAAGCTCTCCTCTCCAACTGCAAAACAAATAAATTAATTGAGATCCTGACTTTAAAAATGCCAAACTAGGCAACCTACTTGTATAGGCGCGGCTCGGCGCGATTTTTACAGGTTCCCTCATTTCAACATTGTGACTCAACAATTATTGTAACATGCATTTCGAACCTTAGAGCAAGCATACATAGGCAATAACAGTCGTAACTGTGCATGAGGGGCGGCCACGTGGCTACCCCAGGTGCAGCATCTAAGGAGGCTGGTGCGTCATCCTCGGTGCGAGCCAGACATTTTCAAAGGCCTTCGTCCACGCCCACGACTTGCCGTTTTTGTCCCTGATCCGAAACAGTAATTTGTTTTCCCTCTCCATCACACGGCGGAACTTCACCTCCTACTGCGTACCCCGGCACTTCCTCCACTCTGCATCCCTCGATCTCGTGTAGACCCTTGCATGCAGGCGGAAAGCCGCTTCAATGCGACAGAGCACCCGCGTCCCCCTGAAGACAGCATCACAGCGCTCCGCCCACAGCTGATGAAGTGTAATAGATGTGATCGTGGCCTCCGGAAAAGTCGTGCTGGACCCCGCTTTCCGGAACAACAGGTCACCCAGAGATGTCACCGCACGCGAGCTGTTCAGCATGCAGAGAGATTTTAGAAGTGCAGACGTCACCACCTGAATCTTGGGGCAACTGTAGAGGCAATGTTCGAGCGTTTCCTCGCCTCCACAGTACGGGCAGACCGGTTTGCTGCTAAAAAAAGCCACCCGCTCTCCCACTTGCAGATTTAAGTTGTGGATCCGCAGCAGAACATCTCGCGGCCTGCTCGGTGTAACCAGTGAATCCCAGACAGCAATGGTCCTTTTCCAGTTGATATGCCCGTTCCACCTGCCCTTCCACAACTGCTGCTTCGCCGACGGTTTTTGCCCCTCCCTCCAAAGCAGCTTCAACCGCTTCAGAGGCGCAATCCCCCCGTTTTCGAAAATGGGGAAGTCGGTGAGCTTGCGCCCTGCAGAGTGGAAACCCCGCCTAGACCCTGCCGAGCTAGATGTCTGCGCCCCCTGAGCCGGAGCACTGAGGAGCAGCTCCTTCCACTTCTGAGGCGCAGCCTCAAACGCCCTCTTTGCCAGCTTAGCAGCCCCCTTCCCTCCCAGCTCCTTTTCCAAAACGGCTAGGTCCTTGAGCACAGGAACACCGTTGCCATCAGGCCCAACCAAGTCGCCCAGCCGCTTCTCCCACAGCGGCTTCGCATCCTGCTGTCCTCCAACCGGCGTAGTCCCATTGAGCAGGAGACGCTTGTTGAAGACGATCCGCTCCCCCTCTACTGCTTCCCGAGTGCTTGCCTCCGGAAGAATCCCCAGCGGCGTTTTCATGAAATTTTCACACGCCACCTTCCAGCGCGCGCTTTTCCCCTCCCAATGTTTCAACAGCTTCTCGTGGGCAAAAAACGTCGCAATGCCCATGGGAAGATCCGCCGCCCGTAGCATGAGATGCTTTTTCAGTTGATTAGTCTCCAACGCCAACAGCCCCACCCGCCTCGCCGTGAGGCATGCCAAGATCATTTCCGGGTCATGTACCCCCACCCCTCCCAGCTTCCTCGGCGTGTATATCAGCTCCCTGCTCCAGAGCCGAAACACCTTGTCTGTCGTCGCTTTGTTCCCGGATACAAAATTCTCGAATGTCTTGGAAATAGTCCCCCATTGTTTTGCAAGAGGCGGGTAAACTTGCGCCTGGAACGCTGCCTTCGGCATCGTGTAGCTGTTGACCACAGCCGTTCGCGCCGATGCCGGTAGGAACTTCTGCTCCCACTTTTTGACCTTCCCTGAAATATCTCCGAAGTTTTTTCCCATGTTGGCAGGCAGCTCCCCGAAGGAGTGACCCATACGCCCAGCAGCTTTTCGGCCTCCTCCTTCTCCGCCCATCTGAAGCTGTGCGTACGGCCAGTTGTCCTGCCGAGATTTTTCCCCAGCGGCAAGACGACCGACTTGTCACGGTTTGTCGCCAGCCCGGAGGTCAACTCAAACTTTGCCAGCACCTGCTCAGCTTTGATAAGCTACTGCTTCCCCTCCAGAATCAAGGTAGTGTCGTCCGCGTACCCGATGTACGCCAATCTTTCACTTGCCTTGCTGATACCCATCTTCCGCTTAAGGAACGTTTGCGCCAGTGGTTCAACCGCACACAGGAAGAGATAAGGCGCGAGGGGGCAACCCTGCCGAACTCCAGAGACCACCTCCACGCCCTCTCCCATCCCGCCATTCACTAACAGCCTCGTCTGTGTTCCTGCATGCAGGCCTTCCACCCACTTCACAAAGCGCTCCGGGAAGCCCATCGCCCTCATCGTCCGGAAGAGGTACCCGCGCGAAACCGAATCAAAGGCCTTCTTGAAGTCCACGAGCAAGAGGAACCAATCCTCGTTGTCGTTCCTTGCGGTGTCGATAATATCAGCAACCAGCCCCACCGCGTCCGTCAGCCGCCTTCCCAAGGAAAAGAATCCATATTGCTCCGGCGATATCACCCTTCCCAGGACCTTCTTCATTCTGTCCGCCATGACCCGCGCCAGCACTTTGTAGGTGAAGTTTAGCAACGTGATAGGACGGTAGTTGTTGAGCTGGTCCTTGTCCCCCTTTTTATGAAGCAGGATCGTTACCGCTTCTTTTACCTCCGTTGAAAGCACCGCCGATGACGCACAATCCTTGGCGAGAGTCATGAACCCCCCCCCCCAGCAGGTCCCAGTGAGCTTCGAACAACTCTTTCGGCAAACCGTCCTTGCCGGGAGACTTGTTGGCCGCCATTGCACTAAAAGCCCTTTTCACCTCCTCTTCTGACCAGTCCGCTGACAGCTCCTCTGCTTCCCACGAACGCAGTGTCTTGTCCTTGTCAGGGCGCCACCTCTCCTCCAGCTGACAGCGGTCCCTTCCGAAGATCTCCGCGAAAAAACTATGAGGCTGCCCGGAGAATCCCCTGAGAGTCCGAGACAAATCCACTCGCCGTCTGCAGTTCTGCGATCTGGGTACACGCCTTCCTTGCCTGCACCATCGCCGTCAGGTGTTGCGACGCCACCTCGCCCTTGAGCTCCGTACGCAAACCCGACATCAGGTGCAGCTTGTCTTTCCGCGACGCTTGGTACTCCCGCAACTGCGCTTCCTTCACCGCTAACAGCGCACTTGTGTGTTTGCAGGCCGGATCCCGCATCATCGCCTGCCGGAGATCTGCAACGACATCCACCAGATGCGTCGCCATCGCCTTAACGCGCTTTCCCTCCTCCTTTGCAAATGCTCGAAGGCCAGCCGCCTACCGTGAGAGCAGCAACTCAAAGCTGCTTCCGTCCGTGACAGCACACCTCTCCACCGTCGCTTCCACAACCTTCCGGACCCCGCGCTTGTGCACCAGCGAGGCATGAAGCCTCCAAAGCCCAGGGCCGATGCTGAGCTTGGCGTCAATACGGAGGGCTATACGGATCGCAAAGCTGTGGTCCGAAATGTAATCCGCCGGCATAACATGCGAAGCTTGAATCAGATGAGGTAAGAGTGAATGAGAGAGAAGAGCACGGTCAATGCGCGTGCTAACTTGCTGGGCTTGCGAAAAGAAGGTAAACTCCCGTTTTCGAACCTTCAATTTTCACAACTCGACTAGAGCTCAAACTTCAAGAAACCCATATATTTGAGTTTATAAAGCAATCGCACCTCGCCCTAACGGATTTTTTTTTCTAGACTCAGCTTGGATGCAGGACCTGGGCGAAAGTTCCGAGCGATATTATCCGGTAACCGCATTTCCTGCCATTGCGACGTAAGCAACCCTACTGTAAAGGAATTCGGTGTCGCCATTGCTTTCGTCATCGGCGCACAGATCACATGGGACGTGCCGAATGTGTGTGGTGCTGCAAACCAGATTCGCGGGTTTGTCGCCAGAGTGCGAGGGGAAGTCAAACACAGAGGGCCAGATCCGAGGCGCATGTAGAATTACGCCCTGCGACACCGAGCGCGAAGTCACTTCCCCCTTCTTGGCGAAACCTTACGGCTCAAACGTGTTCACATCAAGCAGCAAGTCACAAACCACTCCACGAACACACAGGCAAACACAGCACGGAAGGAAACAGGTGGATTGTGCTAGAATTGTGTTGTTGTGAACTGGTGGTTGTCAAGTCCCTCATACCTCAAGTCCCTCGACTCGCGACGATGAAGAGTGTTCGCGGTCGCGAGAGCTCTCGCTTGCTGTCGCTCCCCGACGAGCTTCTCCAGCCCTTTCTCGCGCGCGTCGACCACCCGCGCGATCGCTGCAGCCTCGCTCTCTCCTGCTCTCAACTCCGCCGCCTCTCCCGCCGCACGCCCCACTCCCTCCGCCTCCACTTCTTCGCGAAAAAACAGGGCGCCACCGCCCGAGAATGGATAAAGAACTTCGACATTTATTCCGGGGTATTTACCCATATAATAGACCTCGCGGTGGAGGTTAGCTGCACCACCATTGACCAGCTGCTGGGGGGAATCGGCGCGGGCTGCCCGAAATTGGAAAGGTTGAAGCTCGTGTCGGTGCGCGACCCGCGGTTTCAGATCAACGCCGCGGCTTGGGGGAAGCTCGCGCGGCAATGCCCGTGAGTGTCGTTTGGTTGTCTTGCTTCGGCTTTTCTCCCACCTTCTCGTTTATTCTCTAATAACAGCTGCGACCCTTTTGCCAAGTAGGTCATTTCCCGCCGCAAACCGCCCGTCTCGTCTCCTTCATCCTTTTGCTCCTAGTAACCTTTTGGTTCTCTCTCCTTCACCACGGCATGGAATCGCGCGGCTCACTTTATTCTTGCAAGCGGGGTTCACATTTATGCTCTTGTACCCTTATGGCTGTGCTCCGCCCTTTTAGCTCTTGCGCCAAGAAGGATTCGAATCAATCCGCAGCAAGCCTCCTAGCATCCAGCTCCCGTCATTGATTTGCACGCATGTGCGCCCGTTTCCTTCCTCTGCCTCGCCACTTACTGTCCATCTGCAGGGTGTTTATGAGAATTCTCTCGCGCCTCGCTTCCTGTCTGCCCTTCGCCGCTCACGCATCCGTACTAACCCCCCGCTGTCTCTCCTGTGTCCCTCTCTCCTATCCACTCCACCCCTTCCTCACCCCTCGCTTTCCGTGCCTCGCCGATATCTCTTCATCTCACCTTCCCGCCCACCTTATCCACATCTTCAATTCTGTCAATAGCGCGCTTCCCCCCACCATATCATATTGACACTTGCAAACGCCCTGAACGCGTTATCAAACTTGACAGTCATGGGGCATGCATATATACCTTCTTTCTCCTTCCAGGGGGCAAGTTGCTGACCATAGCCACTCGATGCTTGCCCCACTACAAGCCCCACTCATCTTCACCCACCTCATTCTGCATCCACAACAGCGCACGGTCCCTTCAATCCACTCATCTCAAGTCTCTCTCCCCCACCCCCTTCCCCCCCCCTCCCCCCCCTTTCCCCTTCCCGCCACCTCTCGCGCGCTCTTTCCCCCTCGCATCAGCCGCATAACGTCACTGGAGCTCGACTCCCCACTCTACCGGAGGTGCATCGAGCTCAACGAAACGCCGCCTCCCCCAGTAGACGCCTTCCTGCACTGCGCTCACTCACGCTCCTCTACGAGCCCTCGCACTACCGATTCATCGACCGCTGCTCCTCCCTCACCTCCCTCACCCTCTGGCGCCCCAGCGCCTTCGCCCTCTACTCCCTCGCCTCCCCGTCCTCCCCTCTCCACCTCTCCCTCGCCTCCCTCACCATCCATTCCGCCGTGCTTGAAGCTGCCCTCGCACCCCTCGCGTCCTTCCCTCGCCTCGCCACGCTCGCCTTCCACTCCTGCACCATCGATCCCTGTGAGCTGCACGCCTTCGCTCGCTCCCTCCACACGCTCACCCACCTCGCTATCCTCAACTGCCCCTTGGTCTCCAGTCACGTCCTTGCACCGCTGGTTGAAACCAACCCGGCTCTCTCCTCCCTCTCCCTCCACTCCACCTCCTACCCTCTCTTCGCCGCCCAAGGCCTTCGTACTATGCTCGCTCGTTCCTCCTCGCGCCTCCACACACTCACCCTCTCCGGGCTGCCCTCGTACCGCCCGGGCATGCTTGCACGCTGCAGCTCTCTGCAACGCCTCACGCTGAAAGGAGCGAGGAGGCGAGGGAGAGTGTTATGCCGTCTGAGTCGCCGCAGAAGCCGTCTCTGGAGTGCCTTGTGGCCATGCTGGTGCGCGTGGAAGAGAGGGGAGTCCTGGAAGGAACAGAGCGAGGGGATGATGGAGTGGAGAGACGGGAAGGGGAGATGGCTGTGGAGAACGTGGGGGGAGGAGGCACAGCACAAACACCAGCAGAAGCAGCAGCATCAGCGGAAGCAACAGCAGCTGGAGTAGATCAATTGGAAGCAACGACAATCGACGAAGCAGAAGCAGCAGAAGGAGACGAACCAGCAGCACCCTCAGCAGCTCCCTCAGCAGCACTTCCAGCAGCTGCCACACCGGTAGCCGCCCACTCGGGCATGAGCGGCAACAGGTGGCGGCGTTACTACCTGTATATCCGTGCGGAAGCAGCGGCAGCAAACGCTGACACCATCGCAGCAATGGATGACTCACGAGCCGTGCTGAAGAACGCTCGGTGGAAGCTCAAGAAAGCCGCTGAGGAAGGCCTGCAGACTCGGCGCATGCACGGGGAGTTCGCCCTGATACACATCCGAAACGCGGTTATCAAGGTGCGTGCCGCCATGTCGCTGTGCCGGTGCATGCGGGTGGCTGTGGCGGAAGTGGACGGCAGGATGGCTCGCGTGGAAGCACTGGTACAGGCCGGCGCTGCTGCTGACGCTGCAGGGCTCTTCACAGCGGCACTGGACCCTGAGAGAGAGGAGAAGGACCGGGAGAGGGAGGGGCAGGGGGGAGGAGGGAGGGAGGTGGAAGAGCTAGTGGCGTTCATACCTGAGAGTGACCTGTCGGCGGATCTGGCGGACGTGAGTGAGGCGCTGGGGGAGGAGACGGGTATGTGGCCGGCAATTGTGGCGGTGTCACGAGCAGAGGCGCGCGCGCTGCTGCATGTGCTGACGGGGCAGCTGATGGCGCAGATGTTGGCGATAGGTGACGCGTTTGAGCCCGCTCTGCCACCAGTGCCTGGGGCAGTGGTACCAGGGGCAGCTGCACCAGGGGCAGTTGTAGCAGGGGCAGCGACACCAGGGGCAGCAGCAGAAGGGGCAGTGACAGAAGAGGCAGTAGGAGATGGGGCAGCAGCAGCAGGAGGGGCAGCAACAGGAGGAGCATCACAGCAGCTGCCAGAGCCAGAGGCAGGAGGAGGTCCGGGAGACGACGAGCAGCTGGGCGGCAGAAACTCAACTCACACACGCCCACAGAGGAGCAGAAAGTCAAACATTATCACTCCTGCGACGCCTGTGGAAGTGTTGTGCCCTCCACTGGAGGCCCTGACCCTCGACACCATTCAGTTCGCCTCCACTCGTGACCCTTCCTGGTTGCCTTCTCATTTCCCCTCTGCCTCGCCTCGCATGTGCCCCTCTCCTCACACCGCACCGCTCCCTTATTTTCCTACAAACCCTCCCTCCCCCTATGCTGTCCCTAGCCTGAATAGAGAGCCACAGTCCTTCAGATCCCTGGCGCGAGCTGCTGTGTTTGGAAGGGTCAAGAGCTTGGCTATCTTGAACTGCTCGGGGCTGAGGGAGAGGCATCTGGTGAGGCTGCTGCGTGCATGTGCCATACTGGAAGATCTGCGGGTGGAAGGCAGCGATGCGCTCTCAGACACGGTGATAGCAGGGAGTAAACTGGAGGTGCTGACTCGGTTGACTGTGGTTGGGTGCGGTGGAGTCACTGCAGACGGCATTGGCGGGCTGCTGGGGCACATGCCAAGGCTGCGGTATTTGGAGGTGGAGGCGAGTAAGGTTACTGAAAGGGCTCGCAGGGAGTTGCTTCGTGCAGGAGTGGTTGTTAGGGGTGTGTGAGTTGTTTATTCTTGAGACAGCTACCAGTACCGGTACTTGTTTTCTTCGTCCATTACTGGTCGATGACCACTCACTATGGTGTTGATTCTGTTGTGGGCGCACTCTTTCTTCTGTGTTTAGGGCTTGTTATCAGTTGTCAGATGAACGAGCGCGCAGAATGCAATATCGAAGCTGTGATTAAAACTACCATATCACCCCGGATATAAGCGCACTTGCGCTGATAATAAATTTTAACTACCTCCAAATAATGCTCGACATATCCTCGGGTAAAGCAGTGCATGTTGAAATAGGTCCTTAACTCGTGACTAAGCTTCTATATGACTGTATTTATGTTGCGTTTCGTCTTGGCTCCTTATGGGTACCGAATCAAGTAGTGCGCAAACTGGCCGCGGTGCCGTCAGCCGGCTGGAACAGTTGGCTGAGCAATGAGCACTCCCCCCCCCCACCCCACCAACTCCACCACGATAGAACCGAACCGAACGCCCCGAATTCCAAATGCCCTCGGCCACCAACTGTTGAAAAAATTGTGGCCATCCAATCCAACAACACGGCGACCATTTCCCGATGCGCGTCGCACTGCAACCACCTCCGCATATGATTGGTGGGCGGACTGGAAGAGGCGCGTTTGCTCTCGCATGAGCTTCGCAAAACCCATGTTCCACCGCATGGCACCGAACCCAATCAATTTCCTTCTCAGGGAATCGAGCACTGAACACGTCAGAAATAATGGGAACAGAGGCGGGCGCGAACAATACTGCGATCATTTTCAATGCACTATTTCAACAGTGCTCTTTAGGAGCAAGTATTGTGCCCTCCAGGTTGGTGCTGCAGAGCACATTACCCGCAGAGCACCCACGGGCCATGGGAATTCCTCGAACCGTGCCGGCTGCGCCGTTCGCGGCATCGGCCTGGCTGACGCTTTTCATGTCATCCCTGATGTTCTCTAACGCGCGGGACCTCTCGATCCGCCATCTTCCAGCCACTAGGAACTCCGAAGACGTGACTGCCTCGAATGTCTCCTCAGTCCCATCCTCTTCTTCTCGCGAATTCGCCGGATTTGACGGCGCGCGCGGGAATGACGCAATGCCGATTTCGCACAGCTCTCTCGCCTCCGGCGCCGCTTCCGCGGAAGTTGGAGAGCCGGCGCAATTCTCGACGCGACCCGGGATAAGCGGCTATGACGGACCGCGGTTGGCGGGGGAATCGGCGACCCCGGAGTGGCTGGACCGGGACGCGCTGCATGAGCTGGAGGAGCGACTCAAGGACTTGCTTGGCGGCGAGCCGCCTCTCGGAATCAACGGCGATGATGATGATGGCGATAAAGGCGCGTTTGAAGCTGACGATTGGGAATCGCCGGGGCCTACTAATTATGGCGACAAGGATGAATATCAAGGAGGTGGATTTACAGGAGCGACGGACGAGAACGCGGCGATCACGAATCTGGAGCGGGAAGTCGGCGTGAGGACGACGATCGGCGTTACCCGGAGCAGCACCAGCAGCGCCGGCGACCGCGGCTCCATCCGCAGAAGCAATTGCGGCAGCGGCGAAGGCTGTGGTGGTGCGGGGGGCGACGCGACGGTGCGGAGGAGATCGCTGGGGGGAAAGCCGATAGTACCGAATCTGACCGTGGCTCAGGATGGATCGGGAGACGTCACCAACCTCCAGGTATGTACCTATGTGGCTCGCACGCTGGTGGCTATTACTGTCCAAGGCCTACCATATGGTATATGTTGGCCCAGCCTGCTACCGACTGGGTTGTAAGTGCCTGACATGGCGCTAGTACCATGCTGACATGGCGCTAGTACCATGCTGACATGGCGCTAGTACCATGCTGACATGGCGTACCATGACCATGGCTATGCCCTCTCCTCAACATTCCAAGTTCCAACACTTGCACAATCTAGAGCGACATCTCCATTCATTCACCCACCCCCGTACCCTCTCCTCCCTCTCTCGCCTCGCACGCTCCCACAACTCCCCACCAGGACGCCGTGAGGATGATCAACAGCGAGATGAGCAAGTCGTGGTACATAGTGCAGTTGAAGCCGGGGCGATACGTGGGGAACGTGGAGGTGGAGCGTGCAAACGTGGTGCTCCTAGGCAGCGGTGCATGGCGCACGGTCGTCACAGGGAACCGCAGCAACGGCGCTGGCTTCGAAACGTGGGATACCCCTTCCTTTGGTCAGTTGTACTGCATGCTACCCCGCGCTTCCACCACTCTCCTTCCTCTCAAATCCTCTTGCCTCCCTTCTCAGCTCCCCGCTAAACTCCCTCGTCTCAACCCCGCCCTCTCCCCCCACTATAACATCTCACTACCCACTGGGTAAAAACGAGGTGTTATATGGCGCAGCGGAATGCCCACAGGCGTTACACTCGTCCCCCCCTGGTGCCAACGTCCTCGTTGGCCCTCACTTCAGGGAGTCGCCCCTCGCAGGGACCTCATTCCAGGATCGTTCACTGGGTTCGAGCTGGTAACCACACTTCAATTCTCGCCACAGGCGGAAAGTGTGGACCAGCCGGGATTCGGACCCTAGGCTCTGATTCCAGTATAACACCTCGCCACCCACTGGGTCAAAACGAGGGTGTTATTTAGGCGCAGCGGAATGCCCTTAACACAGCCCACAGGCGTTACACCCACGACCGTCTCAATTGCATCTTGCTTTTCAATCTATCACTTCGTCTTCTTACCGTGCGCATGACTGTGCTTGTTCATTCTGGTTCTTTCTCGCCCGTCCTTCTCTCGCCACTCTTGCCGGCCACCAGCGGTGGCGGGAAACAACTTTGTGGCAATGGGCATTCGCTTTGAGAACACGGCACCGGCGAGCATGGAGGCAGCAGTGGCGTTCCGATCAGCGGGAGACAGAACCATTGCATACCGCTGCGTCTTTTCTGGCTTCCAGGTGCACTCTCTTCTCTCTTCTCCTTGCTCTCTTCTCTCTTCTCTCTTCTCTCTTCTCTCTTCTCTCCTGCCTGTTCTCTCGGTCCTCTTCCTGCTGCTCGATGTTCCCTGCTCTCTGCTTGGTCGTCAAGACCCCACATTGTTTCCCATGTGCTCTGCTCCACCTTTCCGTTTCCAGCTTTGCATTGGCTTGGCCTGCACTGCTGTAACCATTTTGCCACTTCCAGGCATATCATAACCAATGCATGTCCTTCCCTTCCCTCCCTCTTTCTACGAACCATCACTTCGACCCCTCACTCCTCGTTTCTTCTGCTTTACTCAACCATTACAAACCCCGTTTCTCCCACCTATCCCGCTTCTTCCTCCTCTCCCATTCCCGCTCCATCGCCCTCTCCCTCTCCCCCTTTTCTCTCCCTCTACCTTCTCTCTCGTCCGTCCTCTCACTCTCCCTCACCCCCGCTTTCGCCCTTTCGCCTGTGCCCCCTTCCCCTCCCCCTCTCCCTCGCCCTCAGGACACCCTGAACTCGCACCGCGGGCGGCAGTACTACCGCAACTGCGCCATCTCTGGCCACGTGGATTTCATCTACGGTCGCCACGGTGCGGCCGTCTTTGACCGCTGCCGCATCGTCCCGTTAAAGCGCCCGGGGGAGAACGGCGCCGCCACCATCGCCACACACGGCGGAGAGACACGGTCGAAACGTGAAGGCGGGTTCATCTTCTACCGCTGCTGGATTGCTGCAAACGCTCCGGGGGTGACGGTCTACCTGGGGAGGCCGTGGAGAGCGCACGCGCGTGTCGTGTATATGTTTAGCTACCTGTCAAATGCTGTCCTTCCTGAGGGATGGGTGCCGTGGCCTGGGGAGGGCTTTGGGCCGAAGGCTTTTCTGGGAGAGTATCAAAACACGGGGCCAGGTGCGGGGATGAGTGGGCGTGCGAGGTGGGTTCGGCCCGGGTTGCTGAGTGAAGCGCAGGTGGCTCCGTTCATGCCTGAAGCGTTTATTCGGGGCAGCCGGTGGGTGGGCAAGTCACCTGTGGAGATCGTGTACCCTTGATGGCCTGGGATTTGAAGGCGGCGTGGTTCATGGGAAGGCAGCTCAGCTCACATGTAGTGCAGATGGAAAGCGGGGCAGAGGTGGAAAGCGGAAGTGGAAGGCGAACGTGCAGGTGGCGAATGGCTTGGGAAGAAGCGATGCAAGTGGTTTTTTTTATATTTCTCGGGAGGTGGATAGGAAGGATCGAGGACATAATGGGGGGTTGATGTTGTGAGGATGAGCAGCTGAGTGTGGCTGATTCTCTGGCGTTTTGGCTTTGATGCACACGGTTTGGTGGTGAGGGTCCACTGCTCTTGAGCTCATCTCGAGCTCTGTACCAGCTGGCTGGATCATTGTGCATTATTTTCATTCTGTTTACCTGTAACATAATCCCCTGGATAGAAGCACAGGTACACTTATAATCTACCGTATTGAGAAAGCTTGCTTTCTTGTTTTTATCATTTGGCATCGTTCTCATTGCAAATGGCATATTACAACATATCCATCGAGTTCTAACACAAGCTAGTACATGCAGAGAATACTAGCTAAAATGTACCGTGTCCAAACGGCCTTAGTAGGCAGTCGATGCTGGGGTGGGTGGTGGGAAAGTTGAGTGAGCCGTTGGAAATAGAGAAACGTGGGTGGAGGGAAATGAGCTCCAACCCACGGTTTTTGTAGTTGGAGAAGGGCGTTTAGCACGCTTCGACGATGCCAAATGTGCAGTACAAGCAGCTTCGCTTTCACAATACACAATTTTAAAAACACAATGTGTGTTTAAAAATTATAATATTGAGAAAGCTTGCTTTCTTGTTTTTATCATTTGGCATCGTTCTCATTGCAAATGGGGCCTCTGAGACATGGGCAGCGGGGGTTTCCGGTTGCGTACGAGTGCCTCTGCGTGTTGCTCGGAGGACAATGCAAGTGTCGGGTTCTGCAGGATGCGCGATGCCTTGATGAGAGGTTCGACGTATGGCGTGACGTACATTTCCTTGGCTGTGTCACTTCGCCACCTGCCCAGTCTTTTGAAGATTCTGTCTGGTACACTGGTGTTGGCTGCCACTGTGGCCGCGCCTTTTCGGAAGGAATGCGTGCCGAGCTGCTGCTCTCCAAGCCCAACCTTTGCGAAGGCTTCCTTGCACCAGTTCCGGATCGTCGTGTATGAAGGTGGCCTGGCCTGGCCCACGCTGGTTGAGGCATGGCCGAAGACGCGGATCAACGACCCCTCCGAGTGCGGGCCGTAGCCAGCAAGTTGAATGAAGCGTCTGGTGCAGCGCACGGGGCAGCAAGGGTCCGCCGTTGCCGCAATGGGTATCCATGTTCCATGACCGGCCTGATCCGTCTTGGAGTGTGGTATGAGGATCCACATGACATCGTCGTCGAATTGGATGTCTTGCCATTTGATAGCCACGAGGTCGGAGTATCGCAGAAATCCCGAGTACATGAGGATAGGGATCAGCCCTTTCTGGAATTCCGCCGGATTGTCAGACAGCAGGTAGCTCACCGCCATGTCCCGAACTTGTTGGATCGATACGGGCTCCTTCAGACGAGTAGGGCGAGGGCAATGGCGTTTCGCAAAGTCGCGGACTTGTGTGGTGAATGGCCCATCCGTCGGGCATGTGCTCCCAGTCATGCGATGGGCGAAGCTGACTGCTGAGCACGTGAGCTGTACTACGGACAGGGTAGCTTTACGTTGGATTGCGTGGACCAGGTATAGCGCGAGGGTCATGTCGGATGCGGGGAGAAATGGAAGGTTCACCTTTGTACAAAAGGCTCGAAACTTAGTCCAGTATGGTTCGTATGTCCAGATCGTCGAGTTTGCACGAGACTGTGCGATCATGTTAATCAGCTGGTCGTGTAGCTTTGGGAGCAATTCTGAACACAAGGCGGAGAAGTTAGGAATTAGTCAAATACCACTCGGAGTGCTATGATTGGGCTGTGCGGTAATCCTGAGCCTGAGAAGGCTGTGGAATGTGTCCCTGCAGCTAAGCATTGGCTTCCGTGTGTCAGAGGGATGTGTGCATGGATGTGTGACGCCCACGTGCATGGGGAGGGTTGTAGTAGTGGCCACCAGCTTGTGCCCGGCCAGTGCGGAACTATCAGTGTGAGTGATGCGTGGGTGCGTTGTGTGTGGTGGAGGACGGCGGGGACCAATTGGGGCGGGGGGAACGCGAAACAATTTTCGCCTGTCCATGCGAGCGAAAATGCATCAATTGCGAAGGCGTCTGGGTGAGGGATCTTTGTGCAGAAGCGCGATAGCTGGGTGTTGCGGGAGTTTGCAAAAAGGTCGATGGAATGGGGACCCCAACGACGTTCCAAGATGCGGAACCATGGCGTCTTCAACGAGTAGTCGTCGTGATCGACTATTTTGGAAAGCTCGTCAGCGTGTGAGTTGAGTTCGCGGGGAATCCATTCGATGATTAAGCGCGTGCCGAGCTCCATGCATGTTCGTATGATGCCCTTGCAGGCCATGGTGAGGTCGGGGCTGCGAGAGCCGCCTTTGCGAAGGATGAAGAATACACCTTGGTTGTCCACACGCACGAGAACGTGTTTTTTCTGGATCTTGTTGGCATACGTTTGGATTGCCCAAAAGACGCCTTCAATCTCCCGTCTCGTGCTGGACGTTGCTCGTAGCGGCTCTGGCATGGTTGCACTAGCTTCTTTGAGGCCGCCCGGAAACGTGGTCAGGGTGGCGCCCCAACCGTGAGAGCTGGCGTCCATATGGATTACAGCATCGTAACTGTTTCGGACGTGGAATGGTGCACCGTTAAACCGATCAAACTCTTCGCGCCAGAAGTTGAGCTCCTCAGCTACAGATGGGGAGACGATCACACTGCTTTTCCATGACGGCGCGTCGTTGATCACTTGTAACATGGCGTGGTTGAATGCGCGAGCTGTCGCGCCTAGTGCGACACTCATTGAGGCGAGCATGCCTGTGATTCTGGCCACATGACGGACGGGGACTGGTGTGCTTGCCTTGCTTGCACTTAGGAGGTTCTGGATGGTTGCATGTAGCGCGACTCGTCGGTCGGGACCGATGGAGAATCGGCCGGTGTCGGTGTCCAACTCTACACCCAAAAATCGAAGGTGCTGCGATGGTGAGAGCTGCGATTTCTTCGCGTTTATCACTAGCCCCGCTGCTTTGAGGTCCAATATTACACGCTGACAGGTAGCTTGCGCATGGGCCTTTGACTGGCAGAGAAATAAAATGTCATCCACGTATGGCACTACTCGGATGCCCTGTTCTCGCCAACGCCGAGCAAGTTGCTTGATGAGTTGCGTGAAGACGAATGGAGCTGTGGCGAGTCCGAATGGCAGGGATCGAAATGCGTATGTGCGTCCACCAAATTCGAATCCAAGGAACTTCCAGCACGAGGGGTGGATGTCGATGTGGTGATAGCCGGATTTGAGGTCGATGGAGAACATCCAGTCCCCAGCGCGTGCCAGGTCGGCCACCCGGTTAAGTCCCTCGTACTTGAACTTGGGGACAATTAAGTGAGCGTTGACTTTCCTCAGATCAAGAATGAGCCTGCATTTGTCTTTTTGCTCGACCACGTTGAGCGGACTTATGCAAGTAAGCTCCTTTGCGGCCATCGGAACTGCCGCTCCGGTCTCTGTGAGTTCTTGTACGGCAGTACGTGTGAATGTGGCATGCGTGTTCGCCCCGACATGGTTGCGATCGTGGAAGGGTTGCGGTGGGCCGTGGCTCCATGGCAACCAATAGCCTTTGGCTATGACGGAGAGGACAAGGCTACTCGAGCACCATGAGCTCCACCATGCAAAGGTCGCGTGAAGCCGGCCGCGCATATGTGTAACGGTTTTGTCCGTTATGGCAAATTCGTACGGGTCGTCACCGCATGCCGCCTCGTATTGCCACGCTCCTGTGTGTTCGTGGCATGGGACAAGGGTTGCACTTTTTATTTAAAACATACGTGTGTTGCATGTGTGCACGTGCTTGAGATCACTTGTAAACGGTGGGGACAGAATTGATAATGAATTGCTATGTCAACGAGTGTGCCGAGCACCGACCGGCTCGCCCCACGGTCCACACACGATTGGATGCGGCTGTCCATGCCCTCTCTCTCTCTCTCTCTCTCTCTCTCTCTCTCTCTCTCTCTCTCTCTCTCTCTCTCTCTCTCTCTCTCTCTTTCTTTCTCTCTGATTCTCTTTCTCTCTTGCTCTGCACCACTTCTTTGTTTCTTAGAGTGTCACTTGCCAAAATCAGAGGGCCTTTAGGAATAATGTTTTATTAAATCGACCCGACACACATAGCAATGCTTTCCTAGCATGCATACACCACCTAGTGGCCAATACATGGGACCGAGGGGTTGATGTTCCCCTTCCCTAACCTAGGCCCAAGGCCTACTCTACCCTTGTCTAGGGCTGGCCTCTTGCCATCGCAAACCCCAAGGGCTGCCCACGGTTTCCGCACTCTAGAGTGCACCGTGCCTTGCGCTCCGAGCGCATTTCCCATGGTCCGCTCCTACACTACCGGAGCGGGACCTTGGCCACCATGCCCGTTCCTAGGGCAGGCACTTGCCACATGGCCCGGCTGGCCGCAGCGGAAGCACGAGCCCCGAAACGGCATCGGCGCGTTGCTTCCGCCGCGGTTGACACGAGCGTATGCGCTTGCGGCGCGGTCCATCGCAGCCATGTCCGCGACCGCCTGCTTGAAGGGTCGAGAGGTCAGCAGGCTCTTCTGCTGGTACAGCTTGAAGCGCTTCGCCGTGCGGAAGTCGGAGGCGTCCTCCACTTGAAGCACCTCGAAACGCCCCGCGATGAGGTTGAGGGCGTGTGAGATGAGTTCGAGTCCGCCTGCCGAGTCGCCGCGCTGCGCCTTGTATTCCGCGTGCAGCAGGTACGCGCGCAAGTCCTCCAGCAGCTCCGCTTGCTCTCGCACGGAGTCGTTGACGAATGTCGTCGCCGAAAAGGTGAGGTTAGAAGAACGGAGGGGGGGGAGATTTTCCGTGCCAATAAAATTAGTATTGTCGACTGGAGCCTCACCGGCGTCATCTTCGGAGCCGTCGGTGTCGTTGTCGACCGCTGGAGCAGGGGGAACGCCGGTCGCTGCGTCGTTGTTGCGCCGGTTCGTCCTTGCTTCTCGCACTCCTTTTTCCTTTTTTGCAGTTTCGTTTTTAGCAGACGCAGATGCAGCAGGTAGTGCAGTTTCCGCGGCTATAACGCTGACGGGCTGCTGCTGTAGAAGGGACAGCAGCGCGTTGACCTGGTCCGGGGTCAACGCCTGCGTCAGCGTAGGGGTCGCCGTCGCGTCAGACGAGGAGACCGCCGATCGTCGCCTCTGGCGCTGACGCGACGGTCCAGCCGCGGGTGCTGGCGTGTGCCCCGCGTCAGTCGCGTGTGTCGCGCCAGCCGCCGCTGCCACTGGCGCCACAGGTGCCACAGGCGCCACTGGCGCCACATTCGCCGAAGGGTGCTGGGCATCGAGCCCGCCCAGCAGCACGTCCACTCCAGTCGGGGCGGAAGGTCCATCTTCTGCCCGACGCTTGTTACGTCGATCGCCCGCAAAATCGCGGGCGTTACGGTCGGAATCGGAAGCGGGGTTGGCCGAGTTGTCGTTGTTAAGTGCCGGCGTAGGTGCCATCGTTGAGCGATTGAAGTTAAAAATATCGTTGAGTAAAGTCGAGGGTGAAACGCCTCGAGGAAGCGTTTTGGTTCTAGCCAGTTTGGACGGAGGAAAAAACTACTCGAGCGGGAAAGTTGAGTGAGCCGTTGGAAATAGAGAAACGTGGGTGGAGGGAAATGAGCTCCAACCCACGGTTTTTGTAGTTGAAGGGCGTTTAGCGCGCTTTGACGATGCCAAATGTGCAGTACAAGCAGCTTTGCTTTCACAATACACAATTTTAAAAACACAATGTGTGTTTAAAAATTATAATATAAGGAAAAACTATGGGATAGTGCATCTAAGGTGTCCTGATAAATACCGGTATCTTCCTCAGGGTACATTCCGCTCTGGACATGTCCCAAAAGTACATGTCCCAATCGGGTGTACATTCCGCTCTTTATGTTTTTGACGGGGAAGGTTTACATCCATGGGTGTTAAGGGTAAAAGATACTGTCACCAAAGTCACGCATGGCTAGAGTTTCAATTGCGAGAGCTGACTTTGTATGCGAGCGTGCGTCAGTGGTGGCAGCCTGACAATATTGAACCTGCAGTGCAGCTACAACAGCTGGTGAAAGGAGGGATTACACTGCCATTGGTTGGTGAAATTATTAGATGATTTCCTCTCTCCTGCGTCACCACCATGCCATGATGATGTCTGTCGAAACCCCCTGCAGAAGCTGACACCCCACAGCTGTGTGGTTCCCCGGACGACTCAACATTTGTGGTCACTCATGTTCTGGTCCAAAAAGGAGAGTCTTTTGAGCCCTTTCCATAGTTCCCTCCCACAGCTCATGATATGCATGCACAACACACTGATACCGTAACAGATTCTGCCTCCCTCAGTCTCCACAGGCACTCACCACGCCACCATCCCCATTCAAAACGGCCCAGGATGGAAGCATAACGCGAAGCCAGAGACAGAGTAGAAAGGCCGGCACCAAGAGCACAGAAGGTAGGTAGGGCAGTGAGCGATGATTATGATACTGGAATGCGGAAGCTGGCTCAACTGACGTTGCTGGATGGCATTCACTTGAGTAATCTTCCATCGGTGGATTGGATATGCACGGATTGGAAGCCCTGCCGAATCAATCTTTCTTCTGCACTGTTCTCACGCAGTGGCTGGCTGTCCTCCCCCCCTCCCTGTCCTCCCATCCCATGCGATCCTATTCTCTCCTGTTGCCACACCCACACTCCTGTCTTCCTGCTGTTCCTTGGTTTTCTCCCCAGTTCCCCGCGTTGCACATGTACCCTCATAGGAATGCACAAAAGCAAACAAACTAGCCAACACACACAAGCTCACAAACACACACAAACTCACAAACACACACAAACTCACAAACACTGCACACATGCACACAAGCACACAAGCACACAAGCACACATGCACACATGCACACATGCACACATGCACACATGCACACATGCACACATGCACACATGCACACATTCACACATTTACACATTCAGACATTCAGACATTGAAACATTGATATATTCAAATTGAACAATCACAAATTCCCACCCTCCCCTCCCCATACACACAACACAGACGCACCCCACCTCCCAAGCGCAGTCACACGCACACACACATGCACACACACACACACACATGCACACACGCTCACACTAACACACACACACACACAGACAAACACAAGAAATCATGCAGGCAAGCATTACAGTAGCAAGTGCCAAAAGGCGTTTAGGGAGTGTGGTTACTCATAGGCTCATCATGTGTGTGGCAATGCAGCACACCATAGCACAGCAGAGCCGCCTGCCTCGATCCTGCGATACCACAAGATTGACAGCTCACTTTGCTCTCTCCCTTTCCCATCCTCGACTGCACACATGCACAGGCATGCACGGCATCTCGCAACCTGTTTTTTTCTTCTTGTAACCTGTCATGCACCCGTAACCTTGCCGGTTCCACCAGTTTCAGATTCATAATTATTCATGTGCATCAGTGGTTGAACCTTCAACTCGAGCGAGAATTTGTTCACGCACACTGTGCTGTGTCCTCTTTAACCGCCAAGCCGTGCACCTCACCTCAAGCGACTCTTCTCGTGGCACTGTTGTGGCATGCTGCTCCATATCCCCCACTTTCAGTCTGCCATGCCTTACCATTTCCGTCTCCAGCTCCCACTGTGGCAGGCAGGGTCAGGCGAGTGCGCGGCAGGTGGGCGTGGGTTGGGTGCCAGGCAGGTAGAATGTGGTGGGTCAGGGTGTGAGGCGGAAGTCGTGCTCCTTGGCCCTGTGGTACAGCACTGCCGACGCCTCCAGCCTGTGCAGAGGGAGGGAGGATGGGGGAAGACGGGGGAAGGGTGGGTGGGGAGGACGGGTGGAGAAGGAGCGGTCTGGGGGATGGTGGGAAGAGAATGATGGGACAGATCGGAGGAGAATACATGGGTGGTGCTGAGGTTTGTGGTGTGGCTCATGCCACATCCCATCCCATGCCATCCCACCGCATGCCATCCCACCCCATGCCATCCCATCCCATGCCATCCCATCCCATGCCATCCCATCCCATGCCATCCCATCCCATGCCATCCCACCCTATCCTATCCCATCCCATCCCATCCCATCCCACCCCATCGTATCCCAATGTGGCAAGAAGGGCACGTACCATCCTGGGCGCACCACATGCCGGCCCGAGTTAAGCGCCCACGTCACCTGCAGGGAGGGGCCAGGGGGGCATTGCGCGTCATGATAGTGGCTCAGGGCACGCAGTGCATGATGGGCGATCCAGAGGAGGCAACACAGTATGCGAGAGGCGGTGTGTGTGTGCAGTAGGAGGTATGATGTGCTCAGATCTAACCAGCACTCTCCACTACTACACTGCCCTAACACTCTGCCCATACCTCTCAACATCCCGCCTCCCATCTTCAAACCCTTGCAAACCAATCAATCAACCTCTCGCCCACCCTCTACTCTCCATTCCCAACTCTCCACTATTACCCTCCTCCCCTTCCGCCCACACACTTCACGTCCCCGCGCCAACCTCCTTCCACTGCCGCACCTTATCTGTGCCGAGCGCGAGCGCAACCACGTGTGTGACGGCATCGCAGAGAGTAAGCGTGCACACTGCCCCGAACTGCTCTGCCAGACGCCACAGCGGGTGTGACCGCGCATTCGCCTCGCCCACCTGTGTCATGCAGGGAGACGGGTGGGGGGAAGGGGGGCGTTGGTGGGGGGGGGGAAGGCAGGAAGGGGAGGGGAAGTGGAGGGGGGTGAAGAATAAGAGAGCAGGCAGCCAGATGAAAGAAGCATAAGGGAGAATAAGAGGAGGGCATGGACATCCAGGCAACGGCCATCAATGAGAGCAACCGGATTGGGGCACAGATACAGCTAATGGCTTATAAACACGAGTCTTAGTTCAAAGGGGAGTAAGGGCAACGAGAAATGAGAAGCGCACACATTGCATTGACAAGGATACCAGAAACAAACATGCTAAAAGCATGAGAGGTAATTCAGGGTGTTTTTTGGGTCCTCTTGTTGACCCACAACCCACAACCGAGAAACAAGAGGCCGAGAGGGAGAGCAGTTTTGAAGCGCCCGAAAAGAGGAGTAAATGGGGAGAGAGAGCGGGGCGGGGCAGACCGGAAAGATGCGGGAGAAGACGATGCAGCAGCCGGCGAGCACACGGCGCTGCTGCTCCGCCAGTATGCTGCGCACGTCTAGGTGGTGCTGCTGCATGCCCCGCTGCCTACTCGCAAAGAACGACCCGTGTATGCGCTCCAACACCTGCAACGGTATTGAGGGTTGGAGGAGAGACACAGTCGGGGGAGAGCGGGGTGCGGGGGAGAGAAGGAGGTGGATTGGGGGGAGAAGGCGAGTTGGGCGAGAGGCGGATTGATGAACCCCATGATCGGTTTGGCTCTCACAACACGGCAAAGGAAGAGGAGCACCGTGGGAAAGGGCATGCCACCACCATGAGCATGCATGGGTGCTAAAAAAGGGTGTGTAAGGAGAGGACAGGCAGGGCATGGCATGGCACGGCATGGCACGGCATGGCATGGCACAGCATGGCATGGCACAGCATGGCATGGCACGACATGGCATGGCATGGCACAGCATGGCACGGCACGGCAGGGCAAGCATGTGACTGACAGTGAGGATGGAGGCGAGCATGCCATCGGCGGCCCTCTCGTCATGCCCCACTTCCATGAGCGCTGGCCCCGGCAGCCCCATGCTGCGCCGGCTGTGCGGGAAGTACGTGTACCTGCCGCGTGCCCATGGGGCACACATCCACAGGTGAAGGGGGGGCAGGGTTGCAGGGGGGAGGGGTGGAGGGGGCATGGGTGGGGTGGGGGGGCCACGGGTGGGGGGGGCAGGGGCAGGGGCAGGGGTGGGGGTGGGGCAGGGGTGGAGGGGGAGGGGTGGAGGGGAGGTAGAAGAACAGCATTAGAAGGTTGGAGAGGGCATGAAAGAGCACAAAGAGGGTATGCAAGCTGCTCTTCGTCTCATGGACCGCAGAGTAAGGCAGAGTGTGGAGTGGAGGGGAGGAAACGACTGGTGCAGATGTGCTGCAGAGGCTGGAGAAAAGGAGACGGACAAGGCCACCTGGTAAGACATTGATTATCGATACACGAAAACTGAAAACTGGCACACCCAAGGCAATATAAGGGGGCATGGGAGGTCGGGAAGGGGGGGGGGAGGAGAGGGAGCAAAGGGTAGCATGGGCGGATAGAAGCGGTCCGGGGGGGTCGGGGGGTGGAAGGCGGGAGTGGAGTGGAGTGGAGTAAAGTGGAGTGTGGCGCACCGTTCAACGAGGATGAGGTTGCGGGCATGGTGAGGCCAGACGGAGGAGGAGTCATCCACTATGAGCACACTCGACTCCATCCCCAACACGCCCTCCAGATCCTTACTCCGTACCACCACGCCCTGCCCCCCTCCCCCCGTCCCTGCCCCTCCCCCTGCCCCTGCCCCCGCCGCATCCCCCCCAGCTGCAGGCGTAGTTGCGGCGGCGGCGGCAGCAGGGGAGGAGGAGGAGAGGGTGGCGGGGGCCTGCACGCCCTTGGCGATGATGCGGGAGTGGAAGAGCGTGCCGAGCGGGTCCAGGATGCGCGCCATCTCCGACGCGTACCACCGGTTGCCCATCGTGTACACGTGCAGCTCAAACAGCGCTGCCACCTGCGCGTGTGCGGTTGTCATGCCATGGGTTACAGGGGGGCGTGGGGATGGGGAGGGATGAGGGTTGGGAGGGATGGGGATGGGAGAGGAGAGGTCGTGAGGAAGGAAAGAGGAGGAGTTAGGCCATCCACAAAGAAGTGTATGTGCGTGTGTTGGGAGCACTCCAGCATGCGTGCAAGTGATGCTGCCCTTGCCTTAATTTCCGTCATTTCCACGCTGTGACAGACAGACAGACAGACAGACAGACAGACAGACAGACAGACAGACAGACAGACAGACAGACAGACAGACAGACAGACAGACAGACAGACAGACAGACAGACAGACAGACAGACAGACAGACAGACAGACAGACAGACAGACAGACAGACAGACAGACAGACAGACAGACAGACAGACAGACAGACAGACAGACAGACAGACAGACAGACAGACAGACAGACAGACAGACAGACAGACAGACAGACAGACAGACAGACAGACAGACAGACAGACAGACAGACAGACAGACAGACAGACAGACAGACAGACAGACAGACAGACAGACAGACAGACAGACAGACAGACAGACAGACAGACAGACAGACAGACAGACAGACAGACAGACAGACAGACAGACAGACAGACAGACAGACAGACAGACAGACAGACAGACAGACAGACAGACAGACAGACAGACAGACAGACAGACAGACAGACAGACAGACAGACAGACAGACAGACAGACAGACAGACAGACAGACAGACAGACGGCAAGGCAGGGCACGCACGCGGTGGAGGAAGGTGCGCACGCCAGGCCGCAGCTTGGTCCACATGCCCATGTGCGGGAACCGGTACAGCTCCCGCCCGCCCCCTGCACTGCCCTCCCCGCCCCCCTGTGCCTGCGCCTGCGCCTGCGCCTGCTGCTGCTGCTGCTGCTGCTTGCTCTGTTGCTTGTCTCGGGCCTCCATGTGGCGCAGCTGCTCCTCCCACTCGGGGCCGATCTCACTGAACTGCATGTGGAGAGGGCGGAAAGACGAGTATGTGGTGTGAGGGGCAAGGGAAACACAGAAACCAAAGGTTACAGCACTGCATGTGCAGGTGCGTGTGCATATATGTCCGAATGTACGTGCACATATGTGTGCAAGTGCATGTACGTATATGTGCGCTTGTCTATGTGCATGTCAGTGTGCCCTTTGCGCCTTCCTCCCCGTGAGTCATTCCTTCCACCACCAGCCCCCACACGGTCGAGAGCGAGAGATTGAGAGACAGAAGAACGACGGAAGGAGCGAGAGTGAGGGGAGAGGCGGGCGGCACCTTGGCGGAGTTGAGGAGGGTGTGGTCGAGGTCCAGCACAAGGCACAGCTTGCCAGCACCCAGCATGCTCTCCGTCTCTGCCATGCGCCGGAGCCTCTCCGCTGCTATCCCCGTCACCTCCCCGTTCTGCTCCGCCGCACCTGCACCATCAAGCCTGCCTGCTGCACCCGCCCCTGCTGCTGCTGCCTCCAATTTGCTGCCCACACCAGCGTCGTCTTCCTCCTCCTCCTCCCCATCGCTAAACCGCTCCTCCACCACCCCACCATGCTGCCCTGCAAATGCATTCCCTCTGCGCCCATCAGTGCCTTGCCCTTCAACCTCCACACCCTGCACTCCAACAACAGCAGCAGTGGCAGTCGGCACTGCCTCAAAAGCAGCAGCAGCAGCAGAAGGAGGGGTGGCAGCCGCGCACTCCCGTGAGCTGGCATCCCACCGTGTGTCTGAGACAAGCTGCTCAGGCACCCCTTCCGCCCCCACCTTCGCCCACTCCTCCTCTTCCAATGAAACAGGCCCTGATTGTGACTGCATGCCAGGAACCCTCGGATCCCTGCCTCTCCTCCGCCCCACCACCTGCCCCCCCGCGCCTCCTGCTGTGTCCCTGCCTCCCTCGCCCAGCACTTCCCCTCCTGCCACAATATCCCCCGCGCACGACACACTCTCCTCTCCATGGGGCACCAATGCGCGCGATTGCTCCTCTGCACGCAGTGCAGCACGCGCTGATGCGTCTCTCACCCCTCCTCTCCTTGCGTCGCTGCCGCCACCTCTTGCTGCCTCCCACTCTTCCTTCACACTCATGACCACATCATCTGCATCACTGGCACCACCAGCACCACCAGCAGCACCAGCATCATGCAGCATGCGCTGTCTCTTGCCCCCTCCCTCCTCCACCGCATCCTCCCACGCGCCTTCTCCTTCTTGCTTCCCACTGCTCTGCCCGCCCTGCCCCTGCCTCCCCTGATCACCAGCAGCAGCAGCGGCAATGGCGGCAGGAATGGCAGAGCCTCCAGTGGCGTCTGTGTCTGGTGCGGAGCGCATGCGCTTGCGGGGATCTCTGTGCCGCACCATGTCCTTGTCCTTGCATGCCTCTGCTGCCACTGCACTAGCCGCAGGGGCCACTGCTGTTGCACTTGTTGATTGTGCCGTTGCAGCTGCAGAACCAGCAGCACTACCACCACCAGCAGCAACAGCAGCAGCAGCAGCAGCATGGGAGGCAGTGGCGGCAGCAGCTGCTGCATGTGTTAGCAGAGGGGGTTGTGGCATGTGTGAGTATGTTGGCGATGGGTGAGCGGGTGGCAGTGCGTGCATTGGAGGGGGGGCATGCACGTCAAGAGAGCTCGTGTTAGGAACAGGAGGGGTGTTACTGCTAGGTGGTGGCGAAGCATGCTTGAACCACACCGGCTGCTGGTGGTGCGGAGCAGGCGAAGGTGTTACACCATCCCCTGCTGTCGTGGATCCCAGGGATGCAGAGTGGTGCAGAGAAGCGAGGTAAGAGAGCAGGTTGGGATTGGACTCGAGAGCATGTTGGAGGGAAGAATAGAGCGAGGAGTGGGGAGGTGGTGGGAGAGAGGATGTGGGAGCAGCAGTGTCACTGGTGGTGGCTGGGGGATCAATATCATCACCAGCAAAGGGATTGTATGAATACCGCACTGCTTCCGCTGCTCCTGCTGTCGCTCCCTCCGCTGCTCCCGCTCCTGATCCCGCTCCTGCTGCAGCGGCAGCTGCGGCAGGCTGTGCTGGTAACACAGACGCTGCTGCTCCACCTGCTGTGCCATTAAGCAGACGAGAGTTTGAGCCCTCCGCCCCAGCTGCAAGGATCTGCTCCAGTGCAGCCATCAAATTCAATGCATCGGGGTGAAAGGCGGGCTGGGCTGTTGTTGAAGGCGCAGGGGAGTAAGGGGACAACCTACCACCACCGCTTCCTCTTGCCACTGCACCACCTGATGCTGCAACCTCCCGTGGTAACGGTGGCGTGGCTGATCGTGGTAGCGGTGGTGTTGCTGATCGTGGTGGGGGGCCGGGGGGGAGTGGTGGCAGCGGCGGCAGCAGAGGCATCATGTTGGGTGGTGGTACTGGTGTGCGTGATGGCAGCGGTGTTGGAACTGGTAACTGCAGCTTTGGCTGTGGCGGTGGCAGTGGCGGCAGCGGTGGCAATGGTGGCAGCGGTGGTGGTGCAGGCAAACAAGGAACCACGCTGGCTGTTGCTCCTGACAGAAGCTCTGGTTGTTCTCTTGCTGCCACCTGTGCTGCCGGCGCCACTGATGGCGTTGCTGGAAGCGGCGGCAGGGGTGGCAGTGGTACCACCGACAGCTGCTGATTCGTTCTGGAATCTGCAAGCGGCAACCACGCTGCTTCTGCTGCTGCTGCTCCGTTGCTGCTCCTCTCCTGCTCTGCTAGCTGCATGTGCCCCATAAAGAATGCAACGCAGACATTCTCCCTGTCTGTGGCATTCTCCTCATCCTCGATCTCCCCCTCCTCCGCCTCACTCCCTTCCTCCCCTTCCTTGTCTCCATGCACAATCTTCCCATCACCAGCTTCAGCAGCAGCAGGAGCAGCAGCGCCGGCAGCAGCAGAACCACAGGCCGCACCACTCCTAGCACTGCTGCCGGCATCATTGCCACCTGCAGTTTTGCTGTCCACATGATAACATGTCCTCGCACTTCTCCATCCTGCTTCCATGCCCATACCTTCTGTGCTGTCCTTTCCCTCCATACGACTGACAGCCTCTCTTTGCCTTTTCGCCTCTTCTTTACCATCGCCTCTGTCTTGCGCCCCCCCTTCCTCCTCACTAGTTCTCCCACCTTCCATGTGCCCTGCTGTGGCCTTCGTCTTCTCATCCTGATCTGGCCCCTTTGCCTCCTTGTTACCGTCAACAGCCAACCCTTTCATCTTCTTCCTTTTTCTTCTCCCCACCTTCAACTGCGCCCCCTTCTCCTCCTCTTTTGTCTTTTCCCTCTCCTCCCCTGCATCTTTCTCCCCCCTTTTCACCTCGTGTGTCTCTTCCTCCTTCTTCCCCACCTCCCGTTTCTCCTTCTCCTCCCCATTCTCGCTCCCCTTCTCCTTCTCTTTCTCCTTTTCCTTCTCTTTCTTCTCCCTCTCCTCCCTCTCCTCCCTCTCCTCCCTCTCCTTCCTCAACTTCTCCTTTTTCTCCTTCCTAAACAGCTTCCTCTTTTCCCTCTTCTTCTCCTTCCTCGATGTCTCCCTATTCTGTCGCTCCTCCTCCTCCGTTGCCTTTGCATCCTTATCCGTCTCCTGCTCCTTCTCCTTCTTGTCATCCGATACTTTCATGACTGCCTTCGCCTCCAATCCTGCATCCTTCTCCTTCTCCTTATTCTTCGCGGCCTCCTTTTCCTTCTCCCTTTCCTTCTCCTTCTCCTTCTCCTTCTCCTTTTCCTTTTCCTTCTCCTTCTCCTTTCCCTTCTCCTTTTCCTTTTCCTTATCTTTCTCCTTTCTCTTCTCCTTCTCCTTCTCCTTATCCCCCACCTCCTTTTTCCTCTCCTTCTCCGTCCCCCGCTCCTTCCCGCTCAACTGCCCCTCCGTCGCGCCAACGTCCGCCAGGCCAAGGCCGAGGTCCACATCGCCCTCCATCTCGTCCCAGCTGCACACGCCACTGGCCCACGCCATACTGTACATATTCCGCATCGACGCCGACCCACTGCCAAGCGACGCACCAGATGCAAGCGAAGGAGCAGCAGCGGTGGCAGCGGCAGCGGTGGCGGCGGCAGCGGTGGCGGCGGCAGCGGTGGCGGCGGCAACAGGGGCGGGAGATGGCTCACGCACAGCAGCAGCGCGAGCAGGTGGAGTGGAAGATGGGCGAGGGGAGAAGGACGGCCGCGAGCGAGAGGGTTTGGGGCTTGCGGGGGCTTGGTGAGTGAATGAGCGGCGACCAGAGGAGCCGGAGCTGAAGGCTCTTGCGTGATTTGACGCGTGGCTGTGCTTTGGAGGGGTGGACTCACGCGGGCTGGACGGATGAGGACTGCAGGAGCGGGGCGAGGGAGATGGGGTCCTGGACGGCATGCGGGCGGCTCGTTGCTTAATGGATGCAGAGCGGTGCAAAGCGGTGGATGGAATTGTGAGACGCGGGGATTGCGAATCAAGGTGAAGAGCGGGGTGCTTTGGAGGCGGAGCAGTGAAAGCGGTAGCGGCAGTGCTTGCAGGGAAATGAGCGTTGGCCTGATTCGATATAAGCAGTTGATTAGGTGTAGGCACAGGATTGGACGCTGAAGGCCGGGTGGGCGAGTGAGACTGAAAAGGCAGCAGCGAAGGAGAGGTGGCGGCGAGGTGAGGGCTTTCCGTGGTAGGGGAGGGAAGGGCAGCGGGCGAAGGGGATGTGACAGCAGTGACCTTCCACGTAAATTTGAACGGAGGGTTGGAGGAGGTTGAGGAGGCATGGTTTGCGGTGGCGGGGTTTGCGGTGGGGGTGGTATTGGGATCGGTTAAGGAAGCAGTAGGGGACGGCATGGGTGCAGATAAGGTGAGGTTAGACGTGTGTGATGCGGATCTTTCTGTAGGGGCGTGAGCATAAGACAACCCGGAGGGCTGTGAAAATATTACGGGGTGAGATGATGGCGATGGTTGCGACGATACGAACGGGTTTAACAGCGACGAAGATGAAGAGTGTGACGACAGAGGAAGATGCGACAATTGCGAAGGGTTAGACAACAGTAACGGATGCAACGAAGAATTCAGCCGCAACGGTGGGATAGATGAGGAGGAGAGGGTAGGAGCCGCTACGAGCGACCCGGAAACGATCGGCATGACTGTCCATTGGCCGACGAAGCTGGAGGCTGAATTGGAAGGCGCGGAAACGGATGCTTGCATCAGCGATGGCGCCAGGGCGCTCGAACCGATAAGGGATGGACTGAAGGAGAAACTTGCAGCGGAGGGGTTCACTTGAGCGGGCTGAGAGCCTGGATTCGGAATATAGAAGACTTGCGATGGCGACGGCTGAGTCGCGATCTGAAGGCCGGCTGGCAGTACGGAGGAAAGCAGATTGATGGATGGCGGATACGCGTTGTTGTAGCCCCTCGCGGTTTGCTCCTCGACTCCTCTCATCATTGATCAACTCCTAGATTCTTGTTGGATAACGTCTCTGCGTCTGTTGGGAGTGATTAATTTCTTGGCCAATGAAATCAACCGGATTCAATCACACAAGGGAAGGGAGGGGGTTGGGACAAATCGCGAAAAAAAAAAAAATTGTTATTTTGCCATCAGAATTGCAGACCTGAAAGTGTGAGTGAGTAAGACGTGGAGTCTATGACTTCCTTCTTCCTAAAAAATCTAACGAGAATCCTCTATACCATGAATCTGAGTCACTCATGAAGCTGAAGCCATGGGGGTATGTAAACCTTGGAGTTTCCAAGGTTGGTTGGTTGTCTGCGGGAGGACGCGGTAGAACCAACCCTTTTAGGACGCGTCTCCTCCAGCTCGTTTTGGCGATCGATCCTGCGGGGGATCGATGTGTTGGGTCTACAGAGCTTTCACGATGTCGCCAAACTCTCGGGTATCCGCTTTTCACCAAATTGCGAATCAACACAGTAAATCTGGCACTGTAGATCTGTCACCTCTGGCTCACACGATCGATGTGCCTCCTGCCACAGATCGATCGTGCAATAGTGGCGATCGTGTATTTTTTGCCCCATAAATTTGCGATCGTGTTACCTGTGGCTCGGTGTGTCCAGGCGATCGCGAATTTGATGTTGGGCACACTGGTGTGCAGACCGAACGTGGTAGGATCGATGTGAGGCCCCGATTCCCCCGAACCTGCCAAACGAGCTCGAGGTAACGCGTCCTTACCGCGTATGAACGAGGTAGCTCGTTGGTAGATCGAGGTTGGTTCGTTGTCCGCGGGAGTTTCCAAGGTTGGTTGATTGCCCGCGGGAGGACCCGGTAACGACAGGGTTAAAGCGACGGTGCACATTTGCCACCCAAAACCCAGAACCCTGGCGAACTGTTACTGCGGATGGAAAGTGTCCGCACGAAATCCTGGTTTTCGCCAGCCAGCACTTTCGCGCTGGCAAGCCTGGTTCAAAAAAAAAACTTCTGAACCCAACACTGCCAAAAGTTGCCCGTCGCTTTAAAGTGCCCATTTCGTAGGATCGCCGTTGTACTGTAAATCGATTCCAACAACCGATTTTGGCGATTCGTCGCCAATTCGATTCGAAAACCACGCTGTAACGATCGGGAAGATCATCTGAGCTTTATGTGACACATGCGGAATTGCGTAAGCGCGAAGAGGCACGCTGTTTATACGAAAGAAGTCGCAAATCACACAGCAACCAGATTCGCGTAATCTTCTTGGGGCAGCTGGTGCAACGCGAAACCCCGGCGTTGCGAATTGTCTGCGAGTCGCATATGCGTGATCGATCGTCTATGGTACGACCAGTTCGTGTGTATATGTGCTTTGACAAAATCGTGATCGACTTCTTCAGGACGATTCATCGCCAAATCGTGCAAACAACTCGACATGCCAAATTTTTTAACTGTAGTGGGGTTATGAAAAGGAAAATCGGGTAACTAATCCGCAAATGGATCGTGACTGGCGATCGATCGTCAACTTTTACTGAGAAACTGAACGAGAATGGATTGACTAAGGGAAAGTTGGGTACAAATACAAACCCTAGAAAACTGTACCCCATATGTGCTACCCCACTATAGCCTACAGTAGCTATGTCATATAAATCTGACACACCCCCATAGGCAAAGTGGGGGCGAACAAGGGGTCACAAGACCAGTCAAGCAAAGCAAAGCAAGCTCAGGGTGGATCACAAAGTCACCACACATTCCGAGCACAAGTTCAAGGCCACAAGGCCAGTTCACATGCAGGATTACATATATATATAAGGCTGGACAAGCAAGAGCAGGTGTAAATATATATGCAACAGTGCAAACAAGGTCAAGGGGTGAGCAAGTGAGGCAAGGTAGGCACAAGACCCAGCTGAGTACAGAAGCGCTGATGATCACAAGGCGCAAGTGCCTTGGTGAAGATATCAGCAGTGTTGGCCTCAGAGGCCACGTACGCAAGCCGCAGCTGACCACGCTGCTGTAGCTCACGAGCAAGGAAGTAGCGGAGAGCAATGTGCTTCGTTCTGTGCTCCAGCCTCTGCTCTCGACACAAGGCCAACATGGCCTTGTTGTCTACGTACAGCACTGGAGGAGAACGAGGCGGCTCTCCGAGGTCAGTCAGCAGGTAGGTGAGCCAGCGAAGCTCCTGTGCAGCCATGGCCCCGGCGTAGATCTCAGCCTCACAACTGGAGCCGAGAACAGAAGACGAGCGGGTAGCCCGCCACGAAACAGAGCCGGAACCAAGGCTGAAGGTGTAACCCTGTGACGACCGCTGCGTAGCCTGGTCGTCAGCCCAAGAAGCGTCTGCGTGCCCAGTGAGGACCACTGGACTCTGCCCTCCAAGCACAAGCCCCATGCCCGACGTACTGCACAAGTAGCGCAACACCCTCTTCGCTGCAGCCATGTGCTCCGGTCTGTGTCTCCCAGGAGCAACATAGCGTGCGAGAATGCTAAGAGGGTATGCAAGGTCAGGTCGTGTGCAGGTCATCAGGTACATGAGGCAGCCAACAAGGTACGGGCCACTCGACTCTACGGACTCATCCGAAGGCAGAGCTGAGAGCGAGTGGCGAGTAGGCAGAGGAGTGGCCTGAGGCGAGGAGTACGTGAAGCCGAAGCGCTGAAGGACCTGCTGCACCATGTGTGACTGAGTCAGGGTAATGGTGCGGCGTGCTCTGTCCCGAGTGATCTGCAAGCCAAGGTAGCTGCGCAGTTCACCCAGGTCAGTGCACGTGTGTCTCTTCTGCAGCTCGGACTTCACGTGGGCTAGTCCAGCAGTGTCAGCTGTGGCAAAGACCAAGTCGTCGACGTACACGAGGATGTAGAACGGCGGCAGAGAAGTGTCGGTGCGCAGAAACAGCGACGGGTCGGCAGTAGAGGGAGCAAACCCAAGAGCTGCAAGTGTAGTCCTCAGTGTGTCGTGCCACTCACGCGGTGCCTGGCGGAGACCGTAGACTGGCCGCCGTAGGCTCCACTGGGTGCCAGGAGGAAAAGACCCAGTGAAGCCAGGTGGGCGACGCAGCCAGATCTCCTCGTGCAGGCTGCCCTGCAAGAAAGCAGTGCTGAAGTCAAGAGAGTGCAGCTCGTAGTCGCGGTGAGCAGCTATGTGCAGCAGTACCCGAAGAGTGGTCATCTTCGGGGTGGGAGAGAAGGTCTGAAAGTAGTCAACTCCCTGCCGCTGACTGAAGCCACGAGCCACGTAGCGCGCCTTGAAGACAGGCGGAGAACCCGGCGGCCGCTTCACCCTGAAAATCCACATGCCACTGACGATGTTCGCCCCAGGCGGGGGAACCTCGTCAACGTAGGTGCCTGTGGACTTCCAGGAAGCCATCTCTGTGTCCATAGCTGCCTGCCACTGAGAGGAGTAGGGACCCTCTATCGCCTCCGCGTAAGAGCGCGGAGTCGGGATGTCAAGTGTATCCGGGTCTCCCTCAGGGGTAAGCAGTACGGACACAAGATGAGGTGAAGCAGCAGCCAAACACTGGAACTCCTCCTGCCTGTCCTCAAGGACGTCCGTGCCAAGGGCACACTCACCCCCGACGGACGGAGGACAGACAGACTCAGACTCAACGACAAGACTAGCAGCGTAGTCTAGACGACAGCGAGCAGCAAAGTCGACGAGCTCAGCAACAAGGGCAGACGCAGCAGTGGACTCAAAGGAAGGGTCAGTGACGACAGTAGCAAGGAGACGCGTGACAGTAGGACTGGCAGCACGAAGAGAGTCTGACTCCGGGTCGGGAAGAGCAGGAAGAGAGGACTCAGGAGGAGAAGGCAAAGGGGCACGCAGAGGAGCAGTGGACGGACGCAGAGACATCCGGTGCGTGCCAGGGACAGGAGGAGGACGCTGATGCGAACCACGACCACTAGTGCGAGCAGGACGGACAGGCGACACAGGGCGAGACGCAGGCTCACGACGCTCAGCAAGACCTCCAGTAGGACCAGTGTAGGGAGAAGGAGCGGGTAGTGGGGAGGCCGGCTGTAACTGTAACTGTGACGGGACAGGCTGTGGACACTCTAAGGGAGGAGGAGGACCAGTAGAAGGCGGGAGACCAAGAACCTGCTGAAGGAGCGGAACGAAGTACGGCCGAGGCCGCGCGGCGACTCCAGACACAGCAGGGACAGCACCAGTACCCCCAGCGGCAGCACCAGCGCCAGCAGCACCTCCAGCTCCAGTACCTCCAGCAGCACCAGTAGCACCCCCAGCAGGACCGCCTCCAGGACCGACAGCAGTAGCCTCAGCGCCAACACCCTCAGCAGCTCCAGCTCCAGTCGTACCCGCAGGCCCAGCAGCTCCAGTACTCCCAGTACGAGCACCTCCGGGACCCGCGGCACCAGCACCCTCAGCAGCCGAAGAACCTCCAGCTCCAGCAGTACGCCTCCAGCGCCGGGCAAACCACTCG